TTAGAAAGGAAAGTAATGGATTGGATTAAAAGTTCTGCTAGAAATTATGTAAAGTAAAATTATTTTAAAAGGATCAAGTGATATAGGTACTGTTGCATTATGAATAAGTAAGAATGTGAGTTGAATGAGTCAAATAAATTAATATTTAATTAGTTTCGACTGGAAAGAGTGTATATGATTGGAGGAACTGTTGCTGATTGACAAGGTTAAGGGATGAAGGATGTAGTTAAAAGATTAAAGATGATGTCAGGTTAAGCTAATAGAGTATGGCGTAAATTTGTAAATGGTTTTATATTTGATTATGTAAATGTGATGTAGTGAAAGTGATAAGGATTAATATGTTTGAAGGAATTTAATGATATGTGTATTGTGATTCAAACAAAGAATAAGGTTTGCGCAAGGAGTGTTGATTATCAAAGTTATAAAGAAATGATAAAGATCTGTAATCAGAGATGAGCATAGGTGATAAGAAAAGAGTTTGTGAGCATGAAAGAAAATATATGATTTTGTATAAGAATATTTTGATTTTGAATGAATAAAGGAATAATGGAATAAGGAAATGAAATGATAAAGTTTAAAGAATCAGATGTGATAATGGTTATGTTACTTGGTCAAGTAGACTTAGTCAGAGAAATAAAGAATGATTTATATGTATTAAGGAAGTTTAAGAAGTACGTAAGTAATGATGGAATAAAAGTTGGTTATTATTGCAAGGCAATTAAAGATTGATAAGGAATTTGATTGATTTATGAATTTGAGTGGTAAGAACTGAGGCTACTAGTTATATGATAAGTGACATGATAAGGATGTATAAAGGAAAAAGATAGTTGAAAAACTAAAGGAAGAAAAGATTAAGTAAAGGAAACAACATAAGAACATTAGAAGATATGTTCTTATTGTGTGTGTGCAGTGAAAATTCGAGGACAAATTTTTTTTAAAGGAGGGGAGAATTGTAATATCCCAAAATCCAACTAGTGACTAAAATGAGAATTTTAAAAGTTTTGTGCTCAATGTTGAAATAAATTAAAAGTTTCAGGATTTAAGTAAATAATTTTAATATTGGATTAAATAGCAATGATGGATGAATTAAAGGGGCAAAATGGTCTTTTTATGAGAAAAAAATTTTATTTTCCCTTTTTGAGTATTATAAAACGTGGATAATGTGAGAAAGTTTCTAGATTTCGCTTCTTCATTTTTTTCTCCACCGTGAAGCCGTAAGCAAATGTAAGATCTCTTGTTGGTTGATATTTAGCTGAATTTAAGATTGTGCTTTGATCATTAGATGATAATTAAGCTTAAAGAAAGCTTAATTTGTCTTAAAACCATAAGATGAAGGAGTCAAGAGAGATTAAATATTAGAAGTTTTTAAATGAAATTTTGGAAAAGAGTTGTTAAGTAGAATTTGAAGTTAAATTTGACTTGTTAATAGTTCAATTAAGATATTTGGAGTGATAGAATTAGATTTAGAACATATAGAAAATTTGGTATGATTCTTGAATTTTATTTGGAAGATAAGATTTCGAGGATAAAGATGTGATAAAGGAGAATAAACGAGTTTAAGTATGAGTATGTAAGTTAAGAATAAGAAAGGGGATGCTATATTAAGCCATTAAGCTGGAAAAAGTGAATTTTCGTGCATAAATTGGAATTCTGGGCTAATGTACATCGGTAGACATTCAACATGTACTGATGCATCAAGGGTAAATTCCATAAATTATTCAGTGTGCATCGATGCACACAGGAAGGTATCGATGCATAGAAATTTTGAAGCTACTTTGTGCATCGATGCACCCATAGTGCATCGATACACCCCTAAAGGAAAAAGTGAATTATAGTTCAATAAATTAGTTTAAGTTATTAGCATCGAATTATAAGGTTTAGGCTTCTAATAATCGTCTTGGAAATTATGTTTATGTAGATACTGAGCCTAAACAAGTTCCGAAACATTTGGCATGTAAGATCGATCAAGGGAAAGATAAGAGATCATTATTGATTAGTGAGGCCAGGTGAGTACATGATATTAAGTGTACGTTATGTATAGGAAATTAAGAATTGCGACGAGTCTAATTCTGCTATTATGTGATTAGGGGTACTGAAGCATAAACATGTATTGATATGGTGCTAAATATATTGTACATAAGTAAATGCATATGTTTAATTGATTAAATGCATCTTTATATGTGAACTATGTAAATGCATGTATGTGTGATAATAGGTTATGTGATTCCATGAGATGAAATATATGTAAAAATGATATGACTTATATGTGTTTCTACTAGAATGTTACATGATATGCTATGTATGCTAAATAATTGATGTGAATACATGTTAGTGTAATAAGCCAGGTTAAATGTTATAACTGAATGAAGGGATTTGATGAGAATATGTATATGCGAACATGTGTTATGAGATAAGAATCATGACTATAAGATATGTGAAAAAAGAATACAAGTAAAGGTGAAAAGCTATGTGATAAGTGAATGTGAATTACATGGAAATATGCTATGTGAAAGAGAACTATGTGCCTATGTGAATATGTGAAAAGATATAAAAAGTAATGACCATGTCATGTGTTATGAGAGCTATAGGTATAGTTGGCATGCCAAGAGTCGAGGGATTATCAGTGGTCCTTTGGTTCATAGTGGTCCTTCGGGACATAGTGGTCACACGGGACAAATTTCTACGCGCCCCTAGTGGAATTTATACAAGCTGTGGTGACAACATTGTGCACAACCTCTATGTACTCGCATACCTTAAGTTCTCAAAAGAGTGCATGAGCTTTAAAGAGAATAAATAATTGTTATGATGATATGTGTGTTCTTTTGTGATATTATATTTGTGTTATGTGACATGTATAAATGATAAGTTCGAAATCATATGATAAGGGAATGAGGATAATAATAATGAGAGTATATGTGTCTTTGTGATATGAAGTTGATAGTAACAACAGAATTTGTATAGGTGTATATTTGAATATATGTAATGTTATACTATTTTGTGTGATAGTATGGTATTATATGTTAATGATGATTTAAGTATGAATATGAGTATGATGTGGTATTACATGAAATATCTATAAATAGATATATGCATGCATTGGTTAATTATATTGTGTATTTACTTGTCTCACTAAGTCTATGACTTAGCGTGTAAGTGTCTTACACGTAGGTTTTGTTAAGCAAGAGGATCAAGCTTGTACCAGTAGAACAACATATCAACACTCGAAGATCATATCAGAAATATCTTGTATAGTATGTTCTGTTATGTAAAGTAGTATGTTGGCATGTAAACATAGTTATTAAGAATGTACGCTCTGATGAAGTTTGATAATGTTTTGAACATGTTTATGTAAAATATTAACTTTATAGGATAGAAGTTTTAAATTTTCTATGGTTTTATAAAAGTACATGTTTTGAATAGTTAATGTGACATCTCGGATTCGTATCCGGATCGGATACGGGTTGGAGGTGTTACATTTAATGGTATCAAAACTTTTGTGCACATATCTACCTCTTAATATTTGTGGCATCCCTTTCAATGGAACAAGCCAATGAGAGTTTTGGTTGAACTCAGATTTATAAACCTATAAAATACAAAAATTAAATTCACTAAATTAATAAATAGGTACAAATTCCACGGTTGAGTTATATAGTTTCTTTTAGCGTACTTGTCAATTGTCATTATTATATAAAAAATAAAATTAACGCTAAGAGTAATTTTAAATGAAAAATTATTATATATAAATTTTGTTTTATTTAAGTCAATTCTTACTATAAATAAAAAAATAAATAATGAATCCTAATTCTAACTTATTATATAACACATTAAAGAAGTTGACATTAATAGGAATTTGGACGATCAAAGCAGTATTGAATGAACAATTATTATATATTTACTATTTGTTTTATTTAATCATTCTAATTTAAAATTAATTCTTATTATACATAAATTAAATAAAAAAAGGAACCCTGGTTCTAGTTTATTATATAATACAATAAAGAAGAAGTTGACATTAATTGAAAGACGATAAAAACGATATTCTTTTTCTGATAAAGATAAAGCAATATTGAATGAACAATTATTATATATATAATTTATGTTTTATTTAATCATTTTAATTTAAAATTAATTCTTATTCTAAATAAAATAAAAGAATAAAACCCTAATTCTAATTTACATATAATAAATTAAAGAAAAAGTTTGACATCTAATGGAAAGATACTTGTATTCATGAACCAACTATCTGCCTATAAATATGTGGTTTTCGTCTTAACAAAGAAAGCAAACAAGTCTGATAAAAATTCAGAAGTTCGTAGCTTATTGTTTTCATCAGATCATTCGACATGTTGCTGAAACAACACAAAAAGTAAGTAATCAAAGCAGTCATTGTTCTTTTCTCCTTCCTCTAAGCATTCCACTGTTTTTCTTTTTTTATATATATAATAACTTCATCTGTTATAGGAGCTTTTATCGATCAAGTGGAAGAGACATTCTTCGCAACAACAATGACAATGGAGATTTTGATGATTCCTGGAATCAATCCAAAACCATTACCAATTATTTTTTTGAATTGTCTGAAAAAAGGTTATATATGTACATATACTGCTTTCAGTTTTTATGTAAAATATATTTGGTTTTAACTTGTTTTAACACACTGCAGGCAACCAGTGAGAGAGAAAGCATTATCAAAAATTTCAAATGCTTTAGTTTGCGATATCGAGCTCGATTTTGTAGAAGAGAAGTAAGTAATATTTTTTACTCACAAAAGAAGAAAATTAATATCAAAAGTTTAAATATTAACGACGATCTTGTTTGCAGCTTTTTATCGCTGGCTTACCACTGCTTCCATTGTATTAGAAAAAGTCGTGGGGTTGAAGAGATAAAAAATGCAATCAATATGATTGGTGAGTTTAATCTTTCATGATAACGTGACTATTTGTTCGTTTAAATTTAATAATTAACTTACACAATTTTAATATATATTTTTAGGATTGATGACAATGATTACTGAATCGCTTGATAAGTCGCATGAAATATATGAAGATGTATTATCTCTGGTTTCTCAAGGACTTCAATCTAAAGTTGATATTACAAAGGTAATTGTTGTATTATACTCAATGAAGTATCTAATTATTGTTTAATTTTATTTATATAATCATAATCCATGAATTTTCCTGTAAGTATAGGTTCTTGAATGCTTGGCTGTGGTTACGTTCTTTGGTGCTAACAATTCGTACGAGACGGAACAAGCAATGCAATTGTTATGGGAGTTCATTCTCCCTCCTGCATGTGCTTCGAGTGTATGTAATTTTAATTTGAACCCTGATGTTTAGTTAATTAGTCGACCATCTTTCTTTACGATTTCTGCAATTTGATAAATCAATTCACATGTCTTGTTGTTTTCCTTCTTATATCTTATCAGAAGAAAAAAGAACATTCACCGACTCTTCTATCTGCTGCTATATCTGCATGGTCTTTTCTCCTCACTTCTATTGACGGATGGAGACTGAGTTACAAGATTTGGAAAGGGTGAGTCTACTAGTTAAACAGTTTAATTTACTGAAAAATATTCGACATTCTTCCCTACTTATTTTGATAGTTTTGGAAATCCCAACGCAGGGCAATTTCATGCCTCTCTAACTTACTAGATAACGAGGACGAAACAGTTTGCGCAGCGGCTCATGAGGCTCTGACTTTAATTTTCGAGACCAACTGTCTCGAAAAATTCTCGACTGGATCTGATGACTCGGGAAAGTTGTCTGCAGTCGTAATTTCCATTCAAAACTGTCAAAATTATTGTGATGAGATCATAGGTGGCTGGAATCCCAAGTTGTCCACATGGTCTCAGATAATACAGGTGCTGAATTTTTTTGCTAGTTTCTTCGATAATGTATTTATTTTTGTTCATACGTTGTAAAGATGTTTAACAACTAATTATTCGAATGCAGATGAAGTTTATAAAACAATTTCTAGGCGAAGATGGATTCGTTAAACATATGACGGTATATATAACAATTTTTACCTTTCTTTATCTCGAAAGTCTCTTTTATATTAAAAGGGAAAACTTATTTGTTCTATAAACAGAAAAATCGAAACTTTCATGATATCTTCGAGTTTAGTCCGGAAACGAAGAGCACTTGCACCAATATGCTACATGTCTTCGAAAGAGAAGAGGTTGGTTTTACTTATTTGAATGGTTAATGCATACTACTTCTTTGGCTCTAAGATTCATCGTGTCTATTTTCTTTGTTAATTCTATAGGTACAAGTTCGTTTTTATTGTGATTCGAATCCCATACAAGAGGATTGCTCTCTTTTACCATTCATAAGTAAAAAGAACAAGAAAGTACAGAAGGTGATTTCTTGAAATTACATTGACGTGTGCTTAATAATCATACCTATGAACGAAGACTATGGATGAATTTTGTGTTTGAATGTTCTACTCTTTTTTTTTTATTCAGAGATTCGATATGTCTAGCAATTCACCTTTGACCAAGGCAAAGACAGTCTTATTGAAGAAGAAACGAGCTATTCGAGAGGCACAAAAAGATTTCTTCATCGCCATGGATTAAACATTTAAGTGGATCAGAATATTTTATTTAATATCAAGAATGTTTAATTTTTTTTAGTTTTATTTAAGAATGCTTGTTTTTTAAAATTTTATTTGATAATACTTTATTTGAATAGTTATTTAATGATAGCTTTTGTGTAAATATTAGATCATTTTCAAATGATTGAATCAGTTCCTTTATACTCTGGTTATCATCCTTTGAACTTGATTTCTATCGATTATTTATTTGAGTATAAATATTTTATATTTTAACATTATAATTTAATCATTCATGTTAAATATTTTTATAAATAAATTATAGGTTAATTAAATGAGTGATTACTTTCGTTTATATTTTGCCCACCTTTTCTTGTTGATTTTGAAAAATATAATATTCGGCCACTTCCGTTTTTATTTAATTAAAATAGGATAACTGATGGTTAATCCTTTAACAGATTGCTGAAATGGTACGTTAATAAAAGAGTTTAATTTTATTTTAACCCATAAATTTCAGATAAAAAATTAATTATGGGTCTTTTGTAAATAAAAAACCCTTTGAGGATAAATTTTTATATATCCCTTTTTTACTTTTCTTCAACCATAACTTTCCTTCACCAACGCTGCACGCCGTCGACAGGGACCCCATCACCACCGATCATCACAATATCAAATCAAAGATGCCTTACACTTTCCACTCAACCCATTCATTTATAAATGAAACTTAAACATGTTTATTCAGAAAGTTCAAATTTTTTGAAAGGTTTGGTAAAAACAATTGAATTTCTTTTGAAAAAAGCATGTTTATGGAGAAGACAATAAGACAGAAGAGCAGAAAAACAAAACATATCTCGACATGTTCTTTTTAATGTTGTCCGACCAGTTTTAGTTTCATTGTTGGATTTCTTATTGAAATGTAAAAATGAGTAAACATCTCAATTTGGGTTTTTAATGAGAGGATCATGTCTTATATTCTCCCTGGTTTCGTAAATTGAGCCAAATCTGCCATTTGCAATTAGAGAAATGCAGGAGGGAAAGGGATATTATATCATCGTTTTGGAAAGAAACTAAATTAATAAACCAACAACAACCCTTGTTTTTTCAAACTCAAGAAACTGTGGGATTCATGCCATTTGTAAATAGTTGGATTTCACTTTCGTTTGACAGCTGATCCATAGTCAGAATTAAATTAGGGTTTGATATAGATTTTCCAGTTGAGATGAGTATATTATGTTCTAGACTTTAGAAAGATTCTTCTTCCTTTATTTGTTTACGCAAATATGGAGTCTTCTGAGGTCTGTGGCAACAAAGAGGAGTGTCACTGCAATGAATCGCGGTGGACAATGTACATTGGTTCACCCTTACACCGCGGCGGTGAAGACGGAAAAGACGAAGGAACAAGTGAGGACGATGACCATGGTGTGTATCATTGTATGGTGGTGCAAAGGATGGTGGAAATCATGAATTTGTTGTGGAAAACAATTATTCAATGGCTTCATATGCTTCTTCAGGTCCAAACGACACGAATTCATCGACCTTAGCCTCAAAGATGAATTGACTGGCGAAGGGAAATATGAGAAACTTACGGATGTGGGTGTGCGGTGTTGGCGGAGGAAGATGAAGAAAAGCAAAAAAAAGTGATAATTAAAAATTTATCCATAAAGTGTTTTTTATTTACAAAAAGACCTATTTTTTTTATCTAAAACTCAAGGGTTAAAATAAAATTAGACATTTTTATTAACTTTTTTTTTAGATAATATAGATTTTATTACCCAATGTCAAAAAGATACAACCAATCAACCAATCAAGGGAAACGACAAAAGGAAAATCAATACAAAAGAGATTGGTTAGACAATATCCCAAGCATTACAAAGCTTTAGATTAGTACTATCAAGTCTATTTATGTTAGTTCCCCTTAGTCTAATTCCATCGACTTCTTTGACATCTTTGAACAAACCTTCAACCGTTCTATGACGTCTTAGGAAGACCCTCTGATTTCTTTCCTGCCATAAAAAATAGATGCAAGCAGTCCAAGAAATTTTCAAAATAGTGATAAGGAGAGATTTTTCTTAAATAAATAAAAATAAAAGTGACCAAATATCATTTTTTAATTAGTGAAGAAATGTAGACAAAACATAAATGAAAATAATTCCATGTAGTTAACCCATAAATCATTTATTTTTAAAATAAAAAATAAATTAATAGTTTATTATTAATAATATAGTTATAATAATATTTTAATTAAATAATTAAATTAATGATGATTTATATAATTTATCCTATAATTTAATTCAAAATCCGATGTAAAAAGAAAACTCAGACTTTACGCTCAATTTTCACTAGCAAAATCAATTGGCTAAGGCTCTCTTTACTAAAATGGCGAGATCAATGAAACTGGCGGAAAATATTTTCAATAGCAAAATATTTATAATAAATATTTTAAAAAATATTTATCAACTAGTGGAAATGATTTACACAACATCATCATCATAAAATAATTTTCAGAAATTATTTTTCAAGGAGGATATGTTTGTTTCCTTGTAAGTTGTCACGTCTCGACCCTTTTTAGAAGTTTTGTTAAAATTAGTGTTGGTTTATGAATTTCTTGAAACCTAGGGGTAAAGGGTGTAATTATCCCATTAATACTAGGGTTTTATTAAATGTGTTTCTCTTCTCTTTCATTTTCTTTCCCTTACTCTCTCTCTTTCTCCCAATCTTTTTGGTTTTAATTCGTTCTTTTTTCGATTCGTCGTCGTGGGTGTCACCTCCGACACCATTGTGTTTGTCTCATCGATCCTATTCGTCCGATGTCCCTACCGTCTTCGTTGTTGTTGTCGTCATTAGCAATGAGAGGATTTAGTTTTGAGTCTTCAAGATAACCCAATTCCATTAATCATCGTCACAAACTGACCTCGATAAGTGCTCCCGTATATAACATGTAATTCTAGAAAATTTCATCAAACTTCGATCATTGGAGGAACTTCGACGTGCCCCCACGCATTGTCGTGCACGTGTGGGTCTGTTTTTAACGACTCAAATAGTAAATTGATCCAGCTGAACTCGTTTGACCCCTAAATCGATCTAATTAAATCCATTTTGACCCAAATCAGACCATTAATCGTTGAATTTGACAATTAACTTTGATTGTTGACTTCGTTGACTTTCTTTGTTGACTCCTACCTCTATGTTTTTTGACGTCTCGAGTCTGTTTTCACATCATGTTTTGCAAAATTTTGACCTAGAAGTCGTATTTTGGGCTATTTATTGCTTAAATTTATAATTATGTTAAGTAAATTGTGACATTTTGGACTCACTTTTTGGTGTTGTTTTCTAAAGGTGGTGTCGTAACCATTTTTCGTCCGGGCACGAAATTTTAAATTTGGCTGGAAAATTGATTTAAATAAATGTTTTTGAAAATAATTTGAGAGTCGCCATCGGCCTTTTGGGTCAGGTAGGTTGAATACCTAAAAATTATTTTTTTAAAAGAGTTTTAAGAAAACACTAATAAAAAATGAACTGATCTGCGTTTATAACTAAAAATTCATTCTTTTTAATAATAAAAAGGGATTCGTGGTCGATTACGTTTAGGGAAGGATTAGCACCCCTACAACGCCCAAAATTGGTACTTTTTAATTATAAATTGTCTCTATTAAAAAAAAATTCAAAAAAATATTTAATATATAATTCTATTATTTCAAAATTATATAAAAAAATATTTATTTATTTAAAAATATCAGAAAAGAACTTCTAGGTGCCTTAAGACAGCTCTTTTCTTTCTATTTGATTAATTTACATAAAATTAAATAATAAATTTTTTATAATGTTTAATTTTAAAATACCAGAATATGACATCCAGTTGTATTAAGACTGTCCTTTTCTTCGATATTGAAAAATAAATATTAAAATAATTTATTTGAAGTAAATATTTATTTATTATATATATATATATATGACTATAAAAATATTTAAATAAATAAACAAGTAAAATTAAAACAATAAAATACAACTAGAACGATATTTAAAATAAATAACTAAATGATAAAAAAATAAAATTAAAAACCTAATTCATAACTAATCAAAATATTAGGGATTAAACATGCTATTTATTTATTTTATTTATTTAGTGACTAAAATAAAATTATCTAAAATTCGGATATTATAATAAAATAAATTAAAAATGTAAACTAGGGATTAAAATATTATTTATTAAAATTAAGGGATTAAATTTGTTATTTATCCTAAATATATTATTTTAATAAAAAGGATTAAAATAAATAAAATTAAAATTCAAAGACTGAATTAAAAGTTTTTATAAATTCGATTTAGTGACTAAAATGTAAAAATTATAAATTGGAATGGCTTCGGATGAGATTTACCCTTTGTGAAATTACAGAAATACCCTCCCCAAAACGACGTCGTTTGGGAGAGGGTATTTATAACCCAAACCGGATGGCCCATAGGGCCAACTTCTCATTTCATTTTCCCTGTTCTCTCTCTAACAGAGAGAACAAATTTGTTCTCTGCCTTCTCTCTAGCTTCCCTCATCGGAGGGAAGCCGGTCACCGGACGGCAACCGTCTGCCGCCGTGACTGTCACCGCCGGCCACCGCATCCGGTGGCCGGAAAAATTTATTTTTACACTAATAGATAGATCGGACCGTCCTAAGGACGGATCCGGTGGTATTTTCTCCTAAAAAGCTCCCAATCGGAGCGAATCTACAAAAGTACCTTCGGTGTTTCGAAGGTTCCGGTGAGATCCGGTGGTCGGGGCTTCCTCGGTAAGTTTCTCTTCTTCATTTTTCCTTCTTTTTTGTTTCTGGTTGTGGGATGTTTAATAAAAAGGATTAAAATAAATAAAATTAAAATTCAAAGACTGAATTAAAAGTTTTTATAAATTCGATTTAGTGACTAAAATGTAAAAATTATAAATTGGAATGGCTTCGGATGGGATTTACCCTTTGTGAAATTACAGAAATACCCTCCCCAAAACGACGTCGTTTGGGAGAGGGTATTTATAACCCAAACC